CCTCGTTCTCAACCAATGTTTTTGTACTACAATAATTAATCCGCTTTACACATCGCTGCTAATCCTGTGTTTCATGAGCGCACTAAACACATTGAGATCGACTGCCACTTCATTCGTGAGCACTTATAATTTGGCATCATTGCTACACAACATGTTTCAATGCATTTTCAATTAGCAGATATCTTAACTAAAGCTTAGGGACATGATCGCTTTCACTTTCTTCTTTGCAAGTTGGGCATTCAGAATCTTCATGCTCCACTTTAAGGAGGGATCTTAAAGATATGATTGATTTTGAAATCTTGAAAATATGGTTGATCTTAAAAATAATATTTATCAAGATAGTATTTATCTTGCAGATATATTCAAATATTATGTTGTCATATCAATACATGTAAATCTCTAGAAATTAGACAATAATCATGCTCTAAAAGGAGTCAGTTGATGTTGTTGATTTTATCAGTTGATGTCGCTAATTCCTCTCCTTAATTGTAGACCTTCCTACTGTATATAGTTTTCCCCAATAGCAATAAACTAAGTAACGTGAATTTAGTATTTTGTTCTTCTTAATTTCTACTCTACATGTTTTATATGTATTGCTCATGTCAAATAATTAAAAAAAAAGAAAGAAAGAAAGAAAGTTCTAATACAACTTATAAGAAAAAAATTAATGTTTAAGAAAAAGGAATGTTTCATTTTGTGCAAGTGGTAAAGCATTTTAGGGCCGGTAGCATTAGTCATCAACAAACCGGGTTCACTAATATGGCAGGGAATTGAATGCTTGAATATAATGTATGAATATTATCAAATAAATATAGAATTGAATCGAGGCTAGATCTATAAGATTATAATTTTATTGGTGTATTTTTTATTAGGGTATATAAGTATAAACAAATTATTCAAGATATATATATATATTAGGGTATATAAGTATAAACAAATTATTCAAGATATATATATATATATATATATATATATATATATATTCAAACATATTTATCAACTGTGTCATTATAATTCTTATTCTTATGTTTTTAATACTCACCATTAAATATCATCCCCTCGCCACAAATTGTTTATCCATGTTCCATCAATACTTTTATTTTTGGCTGTCTTGAAATATTTATCTAGTCATATTCATATTATGAAGTATTTAGTTTTCCCATTATATCTCATATTGAAACAATATTTATTGTATTTCTTTATAGTCTTCATAATAAAGTCCAAACGAACAAACGAAAAAATACAACTTCGAATGATGTATCATATTTTGGATATACCTCATGATCATATTTATTGTATTTCTTCATATTTATGAAAAATCAAAGAGAACAAACAAATTCGGACAGAGTTACAAGTGTTCCTATCCCTCTGTTAAGAAACCATAACTCGATAAAATTAACACATGGATCCTGGAACTATAAGATTTAATTAAAGTTGCGGATGATCCAAATACACAAAGTAAGAAGTGATTTTTATTTAAAAATATATTTAAATAAAATATTTTGTTTTTTTTACAAATCATTTTTTTATAACTAGAAAACATTAAAAAATAATAATTTTAATAAAAATTAATTAGTTTTTTTAGAGACAGTTATTCCAAACAGCACCAAGGAAGCTGAGGCAGGAAGAACATTTTAGTCATTGGTTGCCATGGTCTCTGAGATGATGTACATTTAATACCTGTATGGAATTATAATAGCTTCAACGATTCAAAGTACTTTTTTAAAAAAAAAATTAAAATAAAATAAAATTTTTAAAAAATTATTTTTAATATTAACAAAATATTTTAAAAAAAATCAAAATTTTTAAGAACATGCTGCAACCCAAAACACTCCCTTAATGACCCGTAAAAGACTCACATTTCAGCAAAGAAACTCATCAACATTTTCAATCTTGTGCTCAATACCTATATATTACAAACCACATGGAACCATATCATATTCTACAAAACTACTTACATAGAATATGTTCCATGACAGAAACTGGCTATAACATCACAGTGAAAAACGGGATGATGATTGTACAAAAAATTGAACACGTAAAGGAAGAGTTTAAACTCAAATACAAACAGATCAATCACACTTACATGCGGTCACTTGCGCTGCTAGTTCCCTCCCGAGGATGTAGTGCGGAGGTTCTTCCAAGAACATTTCCATTACAATTTTGTTGGTGAAGGGCCCGATAATTTTTAAGGCCGGATTTCCTGAGCGAGCCAAAATCTCCTCATTTAAACATCAGCCAAATGGTGAAGGAACAGGCCCTGCGAGGGCATCTGATCTCTTAATACTTCCCATTCCACAGATGATGCATCCAGGAGCAGAGAGAGCTGAAAATTTGGCTCCACAGAGATCGCAAACATCATATCCAATTGTTGAAAGACGGCTGAGTGTGGCAGCACAGAAATGGGAAGGATCTTCCAAAGGATCGATAGACTTGTTGGATGAACCCCTCTGAACACACATGTCAATCAGGCTTCTCAACTCATCCTGCTTACTTGGTGGAGCTTTGGAAATGAGGAGCTCAAGCATCTGCTTGCCATAAGCAAAGTTCTGAACTTCCATGTTTCGCTTAATGGCAGTTCGGATGCAATTTATTCGGTGCTTTGCCAGAAGAGGCAAAGAACCCAGATGCCGTGACAATCTTGCCATCTCATCTTTTGCACTGAGTGCACTTGGCCCTTGCACTTTCTGCAGCCGTGCTATTTCCTGCCCAGATGATACTAAAGCATTATTTTTTCTGGCATTGGGAAAGGGACCCCAAATGCGAATACTAATTGATGGAAAATAATTTTATACATGCATTGCTGGAGCATAACTTGACAAAAGGTATCCATGAGAGAAAAAAATAGTGTTAAGTAGAACTGAAGTTCAATTTCTTTTAATGATCATTAATAAAGGTACAGCAATCACAGATCTTATTTTAACAGGCTCAAGGAAATGCCATGATTATATTCCTGTTCATTTGTTTCAATTTAAACCCATCTAGCGTTACTTAAGCTTGGACTTGTCAGCTGGTTAGGCCAGTCAAGGCCTATAACAATTCATATTTTTGACTAACAAACTTAGTTTTTTGGGTCCAACTTTTAAATGATATCTAAGTACCTTGAGAAGAGTAACTGCTATCTTGTACTGAGCACAGATGGTTGCTTGAGCTTTAATATCAGCACCACGAGAGTTATCCTTAGCTAGTGCCAGGAAAGCTTCATCAAAACATGACAAGGCATCAGGAAGTTGATTCTGTTCAAGGTGTGCCAGTCCAGTCTTGAAACATACTGGTGCAGCTGCTCCTCGGGGAACCTATAATAAGCCAAGCCACAAGGATAAAGAAAGAGAGCAGGATAAGGCAAGCTAGACTACAAACATGTCAACTGAGCATAGCCAATACACATAGCAGCAAGTTGTACAGAATAGGGGAGTACATTCAAATGCCTGCAAATCAATAACCTCTTAAGTGCCACCACTCTCTTATATACCCTACCCATAGTTGGGTGAAATACTTGGTTGCTATCATATTCTAAGAGAAGCAATAGCAGACCCTGGCAGAAAAAGAAAAAAAAAAACAAATATAGGAAACTGAAGCCATAGAAAGGCAGATTCACCTGTCCAGGTCTCACAGATGATGGCAGAGATGCAGGGGCAGGAGTTTTCCCTGAATCTGTAACTCCAAGAACACTAAGATCAAGAGGCTGCGTGGAAAGGGGAACCTGAGGCGCTTGAACTTGTGGCTGAGGTGGAATACCAGCCTGAATGGAAGCTTGAGGTGGGACACCACCATCCGCAAGTCCAATGGACGCAAGTGGGGCAGCTAGTTGAGTTGCTTGTGGTGGAATACCACCATCAGGAAGACCAATATCACTCACAGAAGCAGCACCAGGGTTGGGAACACCACCTGCATTGTTGCTTCCAACCCCTTGAGAAACTTGATCCAATTTTGCAAGGTAAGTTCCTGGAGGTGGCAGAGATGCTGCAACTTGCAGGGAAGGTATTGTGTTCTGGAAGAAGTCCTCTGGGATGGGTCCAGCTGTAACTCCTCCACCCATAACCATAGGACCTGGTTGTGATACTGGAGCAGGTTGCATTAATGAATCAGTAAAAAACATATCAGCAGAGGCAGAAACTGGGGCAGTGGTTGCAGGAGGTTGGGATAAAATTTGACCAAGGTCCTGGGAACCAGTTAATGACTTTGTCCTCATGGGTGGGCCTAAACCATCACCAAGTTTAAACTGTCTTGTGGCTTCTTTGATCTTATTGACATCCACTGTAGTAGATGAAACTGGCTTATCTCGAATTCTAATTTGCAGCTTCTTTGTTTTTGACACTCCTTCCTCATCACTGCTGCTACCATCGTTAGCAGTTCCATACATAGTTTTCTTGAATTCCTCTTCTGCTTTTGCCTGTTCATCAGCAGCAGATGTACCTGTGTTTTGCTTGGTGAGAGTTTCCAGACCCAACAAAGAATCAAGCTTCATATGACCATCAGGCAGCCCATTTGACTTATTGGATTTGGATTTGGCTAAAGCATTTGGAAGCCCATTTGGCTTATTGTCACCAGCAGGGATAAATGCTTTGACCAAACTGTCTTCCCTTACTTCAACAACATTCCCTCTTCCCTTAATTGAACCCAGGTAAACACCAATATGATCTGTAATGATGGCTGGGATGGTACCATCATCAGTCTTCATGTATGGCATCACTTCTCCAGCCAGCTCCCACTGAGGTATACTCTTCAAATTAGTAGGAGTTTTAATTTCCCAGTTCCCACCACCCCATTCAGGACCTTTGGGAACCATGCTCTCAGCAGCAAAGTTAGCAAAAATGCCCTGTGTCCACCCAGTAGAGCGAACTCTTAATATCCTCTCACAGTACCTCCTCAATTGTGAATCCAAACCTTCTTCTTCCAGTTTCTGAGCAAGGCGCCGCATGGCACTGGGGTTAAGGTGGCATATAAACAAATCAAGCATGGCTTCGTAATCTGCAATGACTTCAAAAGTTTCTTTTGCACTATCGAACTGGCCATACCTGCAATTTGAAATTTATCAGTAGTTTACAAGAGAAAAAGTAGGCTATTTAACAAGAACTATACAACCACAACAGGTAACCATCATCGCATTTTAAATCACAACAAATCTGCACTTCAAGAAAATGAGAATCTTAGTTGTACGATGCAATATAAAACCACCTATTTCTAAAAACTAAACTTGTATTTCACAAACAAAGAGTGTTTGGTAATGCAGTAGCTATTGTGGTTGTGGTTTGAAAAAAAATTATTCTATAAAAAAGTACTTTTAGTTGAAGTTAGGAGTGGAAAAATATATGTTTGATTAAAATTATGATTAAAATTGAATTTGAATAAAAAGTAGTTTAATGTGTTTGGTTAAGAATACTTTCGAAATTGAGGTTATAAAATAATTTTAAAAAATATATATTAATATTGATTGTTTTGAATTTAAATATTGTTGATTTGACTATTATTATTACATCATGAAATAAATAATACTTTATATAAAATATTTTTTATTGTTCCATTAAAATATCTACAATTTCATCACGTATTAAATACATCTAACAAGGACTACAGGTTTCTTGATTTTTTAAGAGCGCAACAACATCAAGTAAAATATAACCATGAATAAAATTGAGATTGCGATCAAATTTTGCAAATGCTACGTCATCAAGCGATCTCCGTCTAATTTATGTAGTGTCATTGAATAATGTTTAACATTAGTTTTTTGAATAAAACACAATTAAAAATAAACAATAATTTTTTTATTTTACTGGGTCGGTCCTAGTTCAACGCGTTTTTAGCTTTGAACCGAATCCGGTCCAGCTGGAACAGTGGAGACTGTCTCCACTATTCACCAATTCCTCCGCGCAAGAAGCAGCAAAATCATGCTTCTAGAAAACATGCAGCACAGCCATAATTTCTTGTGGGTCCTACCAACATAAACTTGCGTTTTTTGCTTAACCAAACGACAATATCTGTGGCTGCGAGTGAACCTCACCCGCAGCCACCCTAAAAGACAAAGGAACAATACTCATGGATCTAATGTTTTAGGTAACCCATATTTCAATCTGCAAAACGAATACCATGAATATTCAGAAGAGAGAATAATATTGGCTACAGATTTTTTCCAGCAATTTAAGTTTAAATTCATTGTACATCGCGTGCAACACTAATTATTCCAATTCTCTGTTATGCTAATGTGGGGAAGAAAAAGAATATGAGAACAAAAACCAGCTGTTTTATCATGAAAGTTTTGGGGAGATGCAGTGATAGACTGATGATACAGTTAGAAAAATGTGAAGGAATCTTTAAAATATTGTTCTTCGCTCAAAACAATGACCAAGAAATACAATTCCTCACATGAATGTACCTAGTAGATGACTCAAAACTCAAACCTGTCATCAAAGACTATTTTACGATGAGTGGAGAGACTAAAAGCATGCCAGCATCCATGTTTTGTAGGATGGCATATTGAGTGGCTAAAAGTGTTCCATAAAACAGTTTGGAGGAGATCCTTGAAATGTTATATTAAGTTACAGAAACTAGAGTGCAGGCAATATAAAAGTTGCTTAAGTTACCAAGAAGAAAATAATAACCCAAAGAACTGAGATGGATTTACCAAAAAAAGGTTCAAATGATAAAAGAACAAACAAAAAATAAAATATAAGAGTATTGACCTCTATCCAAAAATTGCAAATTAATATATTTCTAAATATCCTCACATGAATGTATTTTCTCTAGATGACCTTAAGACTTGAATTTTGTAAAATTAATTTAAGAAAAAGAGGAGAAAATAAGGTAAACACCAAAAATCTTGTTGACACATGCAGAGAATGCCAAAAAAGTTATTGGAGCGAGATAGGAAATTGCAGAAAGTTGCAAAAGGGAGAAAGGATGAATGATAAGAATGTTTCAGGAGTTTAGAGAAAATCAACTGCAAGAATGTGTGGTGATTGGCACAATTAGGTCTATAAATGAGCTACAGCCTCTCATAGGTTGTCCACCGAAACATGACTTGATAAATGACATTACACCTAGACGGTCTCACCTTACAAACATACATAACAATCACACAGCAAGTACCAATCATTGTACGGATAAAAGATAAATGCAAGAGGTGTATAAACATGCATGGGCAAAGATATTTTTCATTTGCTTACTTGATGCAGGCATATCCCAACTGTCGAAATCGGTGGAATAAGTGTGATGTTGGAGGACACTTTGGATAATCTCTAGAACGCAAGAACTCATCCTTCAAAACATCTAAAGCAGTAGAAAAACGGAGAGCTTCGATAGCATAAACACCCCGCAAAACCTGTGTGGCCAACCAACAAGTTCAGAAACTATTCAGATGAAAAACAAAAAACTGGGGAGTACTGCATCAGATTTCACTCACCTGAGTGAACTGTGGACCAGCTTGGGATAATGCAACTGCAAGATCTCCACAAACAGGAGGACCTCTAGCAAGAATATCAAGAGATCGTGGTGTAATACGCAAGCTGTCAAACCTTCACTTGGATAACACATTAGAGAAGTCAGATGCCTAGCATTCATGTGCAGCAACAAACTGATATTGCAGTAAAGTGTATGGAAAGTGCAAAAGGTCCTTAATTAACATAGCGTCGGGAACAAGATTTTGTTTCATAATGCAGTGAAATTCCAGTGGACACAAGATAGCTTGCGCAAAAGAGAGGAAGACCTTGATGTTATTTGGTACAGTATTTCTGACAGGTCAAGCTTCTGCTCAAAAGTGTGTTGCATTGTGGCAAATCCTATAAGAAGAGGTTCAAGGAGTCCAACAAGACAGCTCTTAATCTCAACCCCTTTCTTTTGTCTGGGATTAACATCTGTTGGGTTAGCAAGCAGCAATCTATCGTTCAGAGCACCAACCAAAACTGCAGAGAGAGAGTTAATATCAATCACCAGGAAGATGATAGTGCATGCTAGAGTTGTAATTAATGCCATAAACAACTTCTGAGAACACCAAACTATGAAGTAAAAAGACTAACCATTCAAAATATAATAAGATATGTACCTGCATAAGGCATGCTAACAGAAAGAATTGTCCTCACAATTCCATCCCAACCAAGCACACTAATTGCAGTGGCAGTAGAAAAAAGAAGCGCAGGTCCAAGCCACAAAAGGGATCTAAAGTGCAAATAAGTTAAGTGTTCCAAGAAATATGTATAATTCAATAAAATCATTGAAATCATCATTAAAAGGGACAAGTTTCATCCAAGAAATTTTCTGTTAGGATATTGAAGGAAGTCCTTTATCAAATTTTGCAGAACTGCTTGCCAGTATATCAAGATCCGCTGAAACCATAAGCACCCTGTGTGTGGTTAATATCCCTGCAACATAGCCTCGAAGAGTTTCTTGCCAATGCACCTGTAGCAGAAATTGACAGTGCCATGTTTTTCAGAAAATAAATTCAAAATTTAAAACATCAAACCGAATAACATATTACATCTCAATGGTCAGTGATTAAAAATTTTGACTCAGGTTTAATTATACAGTGAGTTGAAAGTCTATTTTCTTGATGCAACTATATATACGTATTTATCAATTGACAGACGGAACATGTATTAGCAATGAAGGTGATGGCACACTACTCTCTTTATTACTTTGGCCTATGCGTGATAGAACATGAAGGTGGTAGTTTGTTCACAACGGCAATGGTATTTTATTCTTGGTTTCCCTTTAATTGATGCTTGTAGAAAAGAGAAACTGCATGAGAGACTACAAGAATATTCATTACATTCATTAAATACAGCACAAAGTTCAAAAAGCATGAGTCAGTATGTAAATTATTGTCTTATATTCCATCAAACGAAGCACTCAATCAAATGCAGTATGCCTGAGCCACTGTAATGACCAAGCATGTATTTAGCCAACCATAGGCAGTAACTAGAATTAAAACTGGTTATCCTATTATAAATCCTACAAATAGTTATGGACTGAAACCTGAACTAATCTACTACAGAAACATGTATCAACCATAGGCCCATATGCACAAAGTTAAGTCAGGACACCATGTCAAAATAATGTGTTTTAGGACAATACAATTCTAAAGGTTTTTAGAAATGTAGACAAAGGATCTTTTAACTATAAACAGCTACGATCCAGCTTTCACAGAAGCACTGCTACTGTTTGACATTTTGCTTCAGAAAGCACTCCATGTGGGGCACAGTTCAGCAATCACGATAAAAAGGAGTGGTAAAGAGGTTTACTTGTTAGGGTATAGGAACACGAAATTGCTTCTCAATTAAGACTCAATTCTATAGCATGGTCTGTTTTTATTCTTTGCCATTTTGTTTTTGAACATCAAATATATGTATTGCTTGGAAAATTAACTTATTTACCTGGAGGACAATCTCATTCACTTTCAACTTGATTGACTTTTTCCCTTCAGTTTTTGTTGATATATAATTACCATCTGAAGTTGAGAGCCGGTATCCTTGCACCATCTTTGCAAAGCCAATATGGCTCCCGTTAGAAGCAAACATCAAAGTTGACTCTGCAACAAAGTGTGATTTCTGTAAATATCATATTCCATTAATGAACATGATATCAAATAAGAATGATCTCATTTCCTCAAACACCTAGTGGCGTGGTAAAAATACGATCAACTTCGCTTTCAAACAGGAACTGCATAGGACCCCGAAGAGAGGCACCATTTGTTTCAGCAAAATGGTTTTCTTCCAGTAATAAGTTTTTTTCACCAGCTTCTTTTGAAGCTCCTCCTGGCAGAATATACAGAGCCACTCCAGTCTTGTCTTCATCAAGAATTGCAAATTGACTTTCACTTGGACCAATAAATGCTGCATCTCGACCTAGAAAAGTCGATATGCAGTGAAGTTAGTCATTGGCAGATTGTTATACCTTCACGTGCACAAAAACAGTGGGCAATATCAGCCACAAACACATTTGACAGATGCATACCTTTGATTGTGCTTCCTTTGTTGTTGGCTGGCTGAGGATTAGTACTTTCCCAATATAGTACTACTTCATTTGCAGAGCCACTGAATTCATAAACAACAAGAAATAAATGTTGTTTTATACTGTACACCATGTGCTTCGCTTGGTATTCCACGTTTCCAGGAATCTGAAAGAAAAACTTGATTTAGCAGCTCAAATTATGAAATTAGCTTGCAAAAAGGATCTGATAATTGAAATTCAAGTTGCAATACATTGCCTCCCAATATCACTACCAAAAAATAATAGCACTTAGTTTTAACATTACCGATGTGTAGAGTTTCTTGTATATATTATCCACACCAGAGCAGAAATTATATGCCATGAGGTTCAAGCCATCAAGGTAAAACGCCCTGACAGGATAATGAAGTACTCTGTTCTCTTTGTTAAAAAAATTTAGCTCCAAATGAATAGGCTGTCAATGAAGCCAACATAGTCAGATGCAAGATCAGGCAAACGCAAATAAAAATAAATAATTAATTCAGTCACCTGGCAAACAGGAATGTCCCTCAGATGATGTTTGGTATCCAAAATAGTGATGAGAGGCAGCCGAGATATGGGAGCACTTTTGGCATGGCCTTCCATGAAATGCTGTGATTCATGAGTCAGCATTAGAGCAGATTGGAAATACAGTTTATAACCCAAAAAAGGATATTTGTAGAGACATTTCTGGCCTATGCAATAAAGATATGCAGATGGATAGCATAGAATAAAAAAAGTAATTTAGAGCATATAAATTCTGATTCACTTGAAGTGTTATAAACCAATAGGACAATGGTTATGGACTCAAATATGACCTGAAGGAGATCTGACACATAAAAACACAAGTCACAGTCATGCAATTTTAGTTAAAACTTTTAACATCCCATCACAGCTAGGCCCAATGATAATTACATAATCCCTACTACAAATTATTTATTCAATCATTTTGTAATGATAGGCATAACACAGCGAAGAGGAAGGGAGATAATTAGGTAGAATGTAAGTCCTGTAAAGGCCAGGTTCTGGGAGCAGTGACCTTTCTTTTCTAAATGAAGAACTGACGATGGTCCAGTTATTCAACATTTATAAAAGAAGGGAAAAACAGAATTTGACTGGATAATAGCATTAATGTGGTAGGTAAGCAACATACACTGTAAAGGAATGCCTTCCTTGCAATGTCTGAAATTGTCAGCTGACTTTGGCTGCCACAAAGGATAATAATTTGTCATTAATCATACAACAAATAAAAAGAATAATAAGCGTTTTTATTATTATTTTACATAGTAGAGAAGATAGCATGCTAAGCATTCATAGCAT